GGAATTAAAGGAACAGCTCTAGACTGGTTTAAATCTGATCTATCTGATCTATTTCAGTTTGTTCATGTTAATGATAGATCTTCCTCATGCTCCAGGGTTATGCTGGTGAGGATTCTCAGTCATCCAGGTCAAAGTCATTCCAGAAAAGTCGTTTCTCTTCCATCCAGGAAACATTTTCAATTAAAAATGTCAGAAATGGCGTTTAGTTCCAGGCTACAACAAGCCTTAACAAAGATGGCTTCCTTCCCTCTCAAACAAACCACCGATTTTCTTTGTCCAAAAAGGACAAATGGGTTAGTTTAGGACTAAGGTATGAATTAGGTTTAGGCTTAGGTTAGTCAAAGTGTCCATGAGGATAGTGACAGCAGGTGTGTGTTGCTCCACATACCGAGCCACGTGTTCATCTTCTCTGAGCTGCAGTGCTCCAGCAGAGGCTGGATCAGGACGTCCAGATCCTCCTTAGGAGCCTCCTTAGTGAACCTCTGATGCCAGAGAGACACAGCATTATGAGCAGCAACAATCCGATTCATTTTCACACATCTAGAACGTTTATTTCTGGAAGTAACGGCCCAACACACATGAATGAGGAAAAGTTAGAATAACACAGCAGATATCTGACATGTTCGTTTTACATAGAAGGATCATATTTAAAGATATCTGAAATAGAATATATGTTAAAACGGCCACTTAAAATAAGAAACTATTTGTAGATATCTGAAATGTAGATCTTACTAGTACAAATTTGATTCCAGAGTACATCAAATTTAATTTCTACTGGTAGAAATGTAATTAGTGACATCTAGAATACAATTCTGACCAGGAGTATTTTAACTGGGACTAGGTAGAATGCTTTAGTGCTATCTATGATAGAAATGTGACTAGGTAGAATGCTTTAGTGCTATCTATGATAGAAATGTGACTAGGTAGAATGCTTTAGTGCTATCTATGATAGAAATGTTACTAGTCAGCCTGCCTATTTTATGTTATACGGCGCCTCATTTGTTTTTTGAATGTTAGTCAAAATATGTTTTTAAGTTTCTTAAACTGTATTTTGTGTAGGCATTATTAAAATTTAGATATCTGAAATTCCAATTCAACTAGTCATATATCAATAGTTATATCTGTAATTATATTTCTACTAGTAGAAATATATTTTTGATGTCAAGAATGGGATTTCTTGACATCTGTAATGTTATATATTTATCTTTAATATCTGAAATAGTAATTATGAGCAGCAGTAAATCATCCTCGTCAGAATTCGTTTTAGATAAGAAGAATGTTTAGATATCTGGAAGTAAAAGCCCAACACACATGAATGGAAAACATGACATCATTGGTAAGATTTCCATTTCAGATATCTGGCATGTATATGTTAGATAGGAAGAATGTTATCTGATCATTTTGACTAGGAAGAAATGCATTGAGACATCTGGAATATATATTCAGTCAAGCTA